TGTCGCGCGCGAGGGGACGGGGCCGCGTGTGCGACTGTGGGTGGCGAGTGCGACGCCCGAGGGGGCGACGGGGCGGCTAGTAGGGGCCGTAAGGGCGCGCGCGAGGGCGCGAAGGGGGGTCGATGGAGGTCGCTAGGGGGGGCGGCTCGTCCGTCACTTAGGGGCCGTGAGGGGCCGTGAGGGGCCGTAAGGGGCCGTAAGGGGCCGTGAGGGGCCGTGAGGGGCCGTAAGGGGCCGTGAGGGGCCGTAAGGGGCCGTGAGGGGCCGTGAGGGGCCGTAAGGGGCCGTGAGGGGCCGTAAGGGGCCGTGAGGGGCCGTAAGGGGCCGTGAGGGGCCGAAAGGGGCGACGCGAGGGGCCGTGAGGGGCCTTAAGGGGCGACGCGAGAGGGCCTTAGGGGGCTTTAAGAACAAGGCGCTCGAGGCGCAGGTAGGTAGGTAGGTTAGCGGTGGGCCCTAAAAAAAATTCGGTCCTAGCGAAGGACCTGCTCTGAAACCATGTCAGAAGTACGAAACAGGAATGGATGAACTAGCAGTGAAATGAGTACAAGTAGGAAACCCTAGAATTGTGTACCCCCTATAGGCTAACCCACTGTAGCCTAAACAGATAGAACATACAATGTTTGACAACATTCCGATAGCACATTCTATTCCCTTGCTATAGGAACTGATTTGATCTCGTTAGCACAACTATGCAACTCGTGGCGCATGTTTGTGCGTTTGCTGGCCTGAAAGTGTGCGAGGATAGGCCTTTGCGCAACATGTCACTGCGCCAACGTCTGAATGCCGTTTTTACAACTTTTTCTTCACACGGTCCTCTACTACATCCTATTACATAACCATAGGAACTGATTTCATATCGTTAGCACAACTATGCAGCTCGTGGCGCATGTTTGTGCAGTTGCTGGCCTGAATCTGTGCAAGGATAGGCCTGTGCGCTACATGTCACTGCGCCAACATCTGGATGCCTTGTTTACCACTATTTCTTGGCACTTCTCTACTACATCCTATTACCTAGCCATAGGAACTGATTTCATCTCGTTAGCACAAATATGCAGCTCGTGGCGCATGTTTGTGCGTTTGCTGGCCTGAAAGTGTGCAAGGATAGGCCTGTGCGCAACATGTCACTGCGCCAACGTCTGGATGCCTTTTTTACCATTCTTTCTTCACACAGTTCTCTACTACGTCCTATTACCTAGCCATAGGAACTGTTTTCATCTCATTAGCACAACTACGCAGCTCGTGGCGCATGTTTGTGCGTTTGTTGGCGTGAAACTGTGCGAGGATAGGCCTGTGCGCAACATGTCACTGCGCCAACGTCTGGATGTCTTTTTTACCACTATTTCTCCACACAGTTCTCTACTACGTCCTATTACCTAGCCATAGGAACTGGTTTCATCTCGTTAGCACAACTACGCAGCTGGTGGCGCTTGTTTGTGCGTTTGTTGGCCTGAAACTGTGCGAGGATAGGCCTGTGCGCAACATGTCACTGCGCCAACGTCTGGATGCCTTTTTTACCACTATTTATTTACACAGTTCTCTACTACGTCCTATTACCTAGCAATAGGAACTGGTTTCATCTTGTTAGCACAACTACGCAGCTCGTGGCGCTTGTTTGTGCGTTTGCTGGCCTGAAACTGTGCGAGGATAGGCCTGTGCGCAACATGTCACTGCGCCAACGTCTGGATGTCTTTTTTACCACTATTTCTTCACACAGTTCTCTACTAAGTCCTATTACCTAGCCATAGGAACTGGTTTCATCTCGTTAGCACAACTACGCAGCTGGTGGCGCTTGTTTGTGCGTTTGCTGGCCTGAAACTGTGCGAGGATAGGCCTGTGCGCAACATGTCACTGCGCCAACGGCTGGATGCCTTTTTTACCACTATTTCTTCGCACAGTTCTCTACTACGTCCTATTACCTAGCAATAGGAACTGGTTTCATCTTCTTAGCACAACTACGCAGCTCGTGGCGCTTGTTTGTGCGTTTGCTGGCCTGAAACTGTGCGAGGATAGGCCTGTGCGCAACATGTCACTGCGCCAACGTCTGGATGCCTTTTTTACCACTATTTCTTCGCACAGTTCTCTACTACGTCCTATTACCTAGCCATAGGAACTGGTTTCATCTTGTTAGCACAACTACACAGCTCGTGGCGCTTGTTTGTGTGTTTGCAGGCCTGAAACTGTGCGAGGATAGGCCTGTGCGCAACATGTCACTGCGCCAACGTCTGGATGCCTTTTTTACCATTATTTCTCCACGCAGTTCTCTACTACGTCCTATTACCTAGCCATAGGAACTGATTTCATCTTGTTAGCACAACTACGCAGCTCGTGGCGCATGTTTGTGCGTTTGCTGGCCTGAAACTGTGCGATGATAGGCCTGTGCGCAACATGTCACTGCGCCAACGTCTGGATGCCTTTTTTACCACTATTTCTTCACTCTGTTCTCTACTACGTCCTATTACCTAGCCATAGGAACTGGTTTCATCTTGTTAGCACAACTACGCAGCTCGTGGCGCTTGTTTGTGTGTTTGCTGGCGTGAAACTGTGCGAGGATAGGCATGTGCGCAAGATGTCACTGCGCCAACGTCTGGATGCCTTTTTTACCATTATTTCTCCACACACAGTTCTCTACTACGTCCTATTACCTAGCTATAGGAACTGATTTCATCTCGTTAGCACAACTACGCAGCTCGTGGCGCATGTTTGTGTGTTTGCTGGCGTGAAACTGTGCGAGGATAGGCCTGTGCGCAACATGTCACTGCATCAACGTCTGGATGCCTTTTTTACCATTATTTCTCCACACAGTTCTCTACTACGTCCTATTACCTAGCCATAGGAACTGGTTTCATCTTGTTAGCACAACTACGCATCTCGTGGCGCTTGTTTGTTTGTTTGCTGGCGTGAAACTATGCGAGGATAGGCCTGTGCGCAACATGTCACTGCGCCAACGTCTGGATGCCTTTTTTACCATTATTTCTCCACACAGTTCTCTATTACGTCCTATTACCTAGCCATAGGAACTGATTTCATCTCGTTAGCACAACTACGCAGCTCGTGGCGCATGTTTGTGTGTTTGCTGGCGTGAAACTGTGCGAGGATAGGCCTGTGCGCAACATGTCACTGCGCCAACGTCTGGATGCCTTTTTTACCATTATTTCTCCACACAGTTCTCTATTACGTCCTATTACCTAGCCATAGGAACTGATTTCATCTCGTTAGCACAACTACGCAGCTCGTGGCGCATGTTTGTGTGTTTGCTGGCGTGAAACTGTGCGAGGATAGGCTTGTGCGCAACATGTCACTGCGCCAACGTCTGGATGCCTTTTTTACCATTATTTCTCCACACAGTTCTCTACTACGTCCTATTACCTAGCCATAGGAACTGATTTCATCTCGTTAGCACAACTACGCAGCTCGTGGCGCATGTTTGTGTGTTTGCTGGCCTGAAACTGTGCGAGGATAGGCCTGTGCGCAACATGTCACTGCATCAACGTCTGGATGCCTTTTTTACCACTATTTCTCCACACAGTTCTCTACTACGTCCTATTACCTAGCCATAGGAACTGGTTTCATCTCGTTAGCACAACTACACAGCTCGTGGCGCTTGTTTGTGTGTTTGCTGGCCTGAAACTGTGCGAGGATAGGCCTGTGCGCAACATGTCACTGCGCCAACGTCTGGATGCCTTTTTTACCACTAATTCTTCACACAGTTGTCGTTGTCATCGTCGTCGTCGTAGTTATTGTCGTTGTTGTCCCTGTAGTAGCAGTCGTTGTCCTCGAAGTAGTAGTAGTAGTAGTAGTAGTAGTAGTAGTAGTAGTAGTAGTAGTAGTAGTAGTAGTAGTAGTAGTAGTAGTAGTAGTAGTAGTAGTAGTAGTAGTAGTAGTAGTAGTAGTAGTAGTAGTAGTAGTAGTAGTAGTAGTAGTACTATGACGAAGTTTAAACACGCATGAAGCCTTGTAAACACGCCTGTGGAACCTACTGTGTGGAATCAAATACCCATATACTTTGGAAAATGTGAATATGAGCTGTCCTTGTTTAGGATTCTTCAACAGCTTCATAATTTGTTTATGTCATGTGCTAAAGCAGATTTAAGCGATATTATTAGGTGATACACGACCTTACCGTTTTCTGGACTGTTTGTCTAGGTTACATTGCATAATGCTGGCGAGATGGATGCCCTTAGTTTGGTAGCACACTTCTGAGTATCGACGGTTCTCCGGGTTCATCGCGTTGACTCAGCAATTTCCGCCAAACAAAACCACGCCCCAGCTCTAGTGATGTTGTGAATTTTGAGCCGTCGATCTTCCACAATGATATCTCAACTGTTTAATCTTGACCATCCCGATTTACAGCCACCCCCCCCACGTCTCTTTCATCTCGATTCTCCCTCCGCCCCCCCCCCCCCAAACGATCCTCTCTCACCCACACACGAGTGTATGTATATCTGAGTGCTTCAAAATTCTCAATGCGCTCGTTTCTCCTCTCTGCCTTAGCCATTTCCCTCATTAGTATCCACCCCGCCACAGAATCGTGCCGATCTCGCCGATCCCCATGTGCAAGGCGTAGCTGCGCTGGTTGTCGCGCTGCTCGTAACGTCGTCGTCGGGTCCTTTGGTGTTCGAGGTTTCTTGTATGTGTGTACGCGAAGTTTCTTGTAGTTTTTTTTTGTTGGACGTTCCTTGTTTTTGCAGGCAGAGAGCGATAATCACGGGGGCATCGCGCTCGATCGACCGATTGCTCGCTCGCATCAGTGCACCCCACGCGGCAAGCGGGGCACTTCCGTTACAGCATGGGGAACTTCCGCCGCCATTGCGTGCGGATCTACTGCCGAAGTTTTTTTTCCCAAAGTTGCATTTGCTTCCCCTGAAGTTTTTTTCCTGCATCCCCGCCTTCTCTCATTCCTTCTGTGTTCCTTCTCATCCCCGTTTTTCCCTCCCCTATTCCTACGTCCCCGTTTTCCCGCGTTCCTCTTTCCCAATCCCCCTCATTCCTACTGTTCGCAGAGAGCACTGGGTGGTGCCGTCGGTCAATTGCACCTCGCGCGCACTCGCTCGCTCGCTCCAGTGCCACCTTGCGCGCGCGCGCTCGCTCGCTCCCGTGCACCTCCCGCGCGTGCGCTCGCTCGCTTCCGTGAACTCGACGAGTGGCTTCAGCAGCGGCAGTCGGTGGTGGCGGCGGACGAAATGGAGACGCTGCGGTCCGCTCGGGTGGCGCCGGTCGCGCCGGTGTTCGACTTACGCTGGTTCAACCCGAGGTGAGCTGGGGGCTACCGCGAAGGCATGAGAAAGAGGGGAGGGAAGGGGGAGGGGGGTGGGTGGGGGTGGGGGAAAGTGGGGAGGGAGGGAAGGGAGGGAAGGGAGGGGAAGGGGCTCTCACTATGCTTGCTGCACCCTCTCCCCGTTCCTCTGTCCTTTCCGTTCTCTACGCTCTCCCAACACACCAGCCTTTTCTCACCAGCAGAGCTCTTATTGCCCCTTTCCCAATCTGTCTCCCTGACTCTCGTCTCTCCCAGGTCGTATATGCGGGTACTGGTGCATCTAGGCGGGTAAGTGCTATTTTGATGCATGCGTCCTCTTATAATTTTCTCAGTACGCTCATGTTTTGTTCTGATGCAGCCTGCAGAGTAACGAAGAGATCTGATGATGTGCGTGTATGGTTTGGGTTATTAGGGAAATTTGACATTGTAGCCTTATTTAGGCTTGTTTGATGTACTGTTTCTTAGTGCAGATTGTGTACTAAGACTGATAGAATTATTAACGCTATGAGGTATGGTATTATAGTTTTGACTGTATTTCATGCAGAGTACACTCTGGGGATAATGACTATGATATTGTTTTTACTGTTTTACCGATTCTCATATTACATATGGAAACATTCTGTAGATTAGATTTTGCAGTAACGGAAAATCCAAATAAATAGAAATGTATAAAATTCGCTGTAATATCACAACTAATGGTCAGCAGTACACTTCAAGTACATGTACTTATCAAAAGAATTAATTAAATGATACAATCACAAACCGTGCGCAATCTGTATCGTCATCCAACTTCAACTTCGACAGCTATAGTGTATCACGATTATCAAATGCATCCTGTCTGTTGACAGCCAATCCGAAAAGAACACGCGTACCGTAATACCCCGGATATAAGCGCACCTGCGCTTATAATAAAGCAGTGTTTTTCAAGGGGGTGCGCTTATAATTGAGTAAAAAATATAAGCGCATGCGCTTATATAATGACAAATACAAAATTATAATTGAAAGGCACCAAACTGTACATCTCCTTCTTGCGATTACAATCGAATCGAAGTGGTAGTGCGTCACAATTCAGAATCGCGCGTGTGCGATTTTCTGTCGGTGCACAGGGGCAAATTTACACGTCACTCTCAGAGATGCCAGCTCACAGTGACTGGACGCGCAGGATGTGAGGTCCTCGAAAGTCAATGGAAGCGAAAATGGTTGTATCCTCACTGCAAAATGGAAATTCGCTAACGTTTCAATCAGAATTCAAAATAAAATTGTACATGCGCTTATAATAAATCACAGTTTTACAGGGGGTGCGCTTATTAATGAGGATCGGGCATAAGCGCATTGCTCCAGATACAAGCGCATGCGCTTATAATAGGCCTGCGCTTATATCCGGGGCTATACGGTATCTATATTACATGGTGTTTTGAATAGGCGGGAAAATTTCACGCCAAATTTCGACGCGCATTGCCGAGCCTATCCCAAGCTACCTCGATTGGTTCCCACATTTTGGGGGAAGCGAAGCCTGCGACCTTCAGTCAGTCGCGTGCAAAAAAGCCAGTTATCCAGTATGTTGTTTGTTACTTGTTTCGAAGTTAGTTTTCGGCCCTCGGAAAGTAACTTTCGGGACCCGTCAATTTTCGGATGATGCGAGCGAGAGCGCGAGTGTGAGCGAAAGGCGAAACTGGTCGAGGTAAGGCGTAGGTTGTTAACATGGGGCGGGTTTGGCCTTGGAGTTGCTATGACCTGAGCTCTGCATGACGGCGTGAGGTTAGGAAAGGAGAGCGAGGTGAGCAGCGGAAGCAGACCGAAGAGGACGACCAACTTACCTGACGCCGAAACGATGTCGAGTGACGGGAACCAGCCTGATCGGCGACGGTTTGACAATCGAACGGTTGAATAGGCAAGTAAGCTGGGGCTGCGATTATCCGCGGTAGGTAAAAACCTAGGTGTAGTCGGGGTAGGTGGCGGAGAGGTCGATGGCTGTGTGGAAATAGTAGGAATGAAATGATGAACTATGAAACAGGAATGAGTACAAGTACCAACCCTAATTGGGTTGTACCCCCTATGGGCTATCCCACTACAGCCTACAAACATGCATCAGCTATAATAATCTCACACACCCCCATAGGCAAAGTGGGGGAGAGCAAGAGGTCACAAGACCAGTCAAGACAAGCAAAGCAAAGCAAGCTCAGGGTGGATCTCAAGGATACCACACAAATTCCGAGCACAAGTTCAAGGCCACAAGGCCAGTTCACATGTAGCAGAGCATATATATATAACAGTGCAAAACAAGCAAGGGCAAGTATATATATATGCAGCAGTACAAGCAAGGTCAAGAGGTAAGCAAGTGAGGCCCAGTGGGCACAAGACCAAGAAGAGTGCAAAAGCGCTGATGGTCAACAGGCGGAAGCGCCTTGGTGAACACATCAGCAGTGTTGGCCTCAGTGGCCACGTAACGCAGACGAAGCTGACCACGCTGCTGCAGCTCTCGAGCAAGGAAGTAGCGCAGAGCGATGTGCTTCGTTCTGTGCTCCACTCTGTGCTCCTGACACAAGGCAATGGCTGCCTTGTTGTCAACGTACAGCACTGGAGGAGAACGAGGCCGCTCTCCAAGGTCAGTCAGCAGGTAGGTGAGCCAGCGAAGCTCCTGGGCAGCCATGGCCGTGGCGTAGATCTCAGCCTCGCAGCTGGAGCTGAGAACAGAAGAAGAGCGCGTAGAACGCCAAGAGACAGAGCCAGAGCCAAGGCTGAAGGTGTAACCCTGAGACGACCGCTGAGTAGCCTGGTCGTCCGCCCAAGAAGCGTCTGAGTGCCCTGTGAGAACAGGCCGGTCTCGCCCTCCAAGCACAAGCCCCATGCCCGATGTACTGCACAAGTAACGCAACACCCTCTTCGCTGCAGTCATGTGCTCTGGTCGGTGTCTCCCAGGAGCAACATAACGTGCCAAGATGCTAAGAGGGTATGCGAGGTCAGGTCGAGTGCAGGTCATCAGGTACATGAGGCAGCCAACAAGCTCTGGGTACGGGCCACTCGGCTCTACGGACTCATCCGAAGGCAGAGCTGAGAGCGAGTGGCGAGTAGACAGAGGAGTGGCCTGAGGCGACGAGTACGGGAAGCCGAAGCGCTGAAGGACCTGCTGCACCATGTGTGACTGAGTCAGAGTGATGGTGCGGCGTGCTCTGTCCCGGGTGATCCGCAAGCCAAGATAGCTTGTCAGCTCACCCAGGTCTGTGCACGTGTGTCTCTTCTGCAGCTCGGACTTCACGTAGGCGAGACCAGTAGTGTCCGCAGTGGCAAAGACCAAGTCGTCGACGTACACGAGGATGTAGAACGGCGGCAGCGAGGTGTCGGTGCGTAGAAACAGCGACGGGTCAGCAGTAGAGGGAGCAAACTGTCAGATTATTATAGCTGATGCATGTTTGTAGGCTATAGTGGGGTAGCACATATGGGGTACAGTTTGCTAGGTTTGTATTTGTACCCAACTCTGACTTAGTCAATTCATTCCTGTTCAGTTAGTTTCACATGGTATAGAGCGGGTCCCTCCTAAGGACCGTTCTTTGGGCCCACCCACGATTTTTTTTTCCTGCCCGGAGCGCGCCCTATTCTCCCCGAGGCGCGCTCCCCCTAGTGCGCGTCGAGCTGCCCTTGTGGCGCCCCGAGAGTCGCGCGCGCGACTCATTTTTTTTTTCGCGCGCGCGGCCCAGGCCCCACTTCGCGCGGCCCTTACAGCCGCGCCGCGCCGCCCTCTCGGCTCTGCCGCGCCGCGCCGCCCTCAAGACGGCCGCGCGGCCTCTTCGTCGCTACAGCAGGCCCCCCCCGCTGCACCTCTGTCGGCCCCGCAGCCGCCTTACCTGACGGCCGCCGCCTCACCTGACGGCCCGCCGCCTCGACTTCTGGCCCGCCACCTCACCAGACGGCCCCCCCGCCTCACCTGACGGCCCACCGTCTCACCTGCTGGCCCGCCACCTTACCTGACGGCCCCGCCGCCTCACCTGACGGCCCGCCGCCACCTTACCTGACGGCCCCGCCGCCTCACCTGACGGCCCGCCGCCTCACCTACTGGCCCGCCACCTGACCTGACGGCCCCGCCGCCTCACCTGACGGCCCGCCGCCTCACCTGCTGGCCCGCCACCTCACCTGACGGCCCGCCGCCTCACCCGCTGGCCCGCCACCTGACCTAACGGCCCCGCCGCCTCACCTGCTGGCCCGCCACCTGACCTGACGGCCCCGCCGCCTCACCCGACGGCTCGCCACCTCACCTGCTGGCCCGCCACCTGACGGCTCCGCCGTCCCCTGTCCCGGCCCCGCAGCTGCACCCTGACGGCCCCGCCGAGCCGCCCAGCAGCAGCCGAGCCGCCCAGCCGCAGCCGAGCCGCCCAGCAGCAGCTGAGCCGCCCAGCAGCAGCCGCGCCGCCCAGCAGCAGCCGAGCCGCCCAGCCGCAGCCGAGCCGCCCAGCAGCAGCCGAGCCGCCCAGCAGCAGCCGAGCCGCCCAGCCGCAGCCGAGCCGCCCAGCAGCAGCTGAGCCGCCCAGCAGCAGCCGCGCCGCCCAGCACCAGCCGAGCCGCCCGAGCCGCCCGAGCCGCCCGACCCAGCCCGAGCTGCCTGCTGCTGTCCTACCCGACTCTCCTAGCCCGGTGAGACTTTCAGCTGCTGCCATGGCCACCCCCAATGTTCTTACTATTGACGCTGAGGGGAGGGCCATTGACTTTGCCGTCTGGATTGAAGACCTGCAGCTGTACTTACTGTGTGATGCGATAGATGAGGTCTCTCTCTTTGACTTTGTCTCTGGCGCTGTCCCTGCCCCGCCTGCTGATGCTGACTCTGCTGCTCGCTCCAAGTGGGCGACCCGCGATGCTGCTGCACGTCTTGCTGTGCGTCGCCACCTCCCTTCCTCTGAGCGTGCCCACTTTAGTCAGTGCAAGACCGCTCAGGCCTTGTACGACGCTGTAGTTGCACGCTACTCCTCCCCTTCCTCCGCTACCCTTAGCCGCCTCATGCTACCGTTTCTCTTCCCTGACCTCGCTTCCTTTCCCACTGTTGCTGACCTCGTTACCCACCTCCGCGCTAGTGACACCCGCTACCGCGCTGCCCTTCCTGCTGAGTTCCGCGCTGCCAACCCTCCTCCCATGTACATCACTCTCTACTTTCTCGTCACCCGTCTCCCTGAGTCCCTTCGTGTCGTTAGGGACCAGTTTCTCTCTGTCTGTCCCACCACTCTCACTGTCGACCTCCTTGAGGAGTCCCTGCTAGCGGCTGAGAAGAGTATTGTCGCTGTAGGGGCCTCTCGGGGTGACCC